ATGACCTACAAGTAGCAGACCATCCACACCTGCCTCGCCATTACCCCAAAAGGCAGAAAGTCTGAAGCAAGAAAAATAGCTAAAATTTTAACAAAGGGTTTTCCCCCCCTAGAAACCACCTTTAAAATAGGGTCATTATATAGAAACCATCATTGATTGTCAATTTATACATAAACCACCATTAAAGGGGTTTTTGTTGCAATCAAACACTGTTTTGAGTTTTTTGAGGAAACTACCATTAAAATAAGAATAAATGCATGTTGTGCTACACTGGTTTTTCAAATTGATGCTTTGTCCAAATCAAGAAAAAAGAGCAAAATACAAATCCAAATGAAGTGGGCAAATCATCTTCGTCTCTGAGATGGGAAAATAAACAAGATCTGAGATAACAGTACTAATAGACATCCTCAAAGGAATTCTTTTCTCCAAGTTTCTCTGATGAAATGATGCTCGATGACAATGTGCTCGGTCAACTTGTAAAAAACAGGATTCTTTGCCATATCAAAAGCTGATTTGTTATCACAATACAAATCCAGTAACCAAATTACTTAACCAAATTAACAAAGTAATGCAAAGCCTTATATTTCTGACATTTGTCATGAATCCGAAATACAAATCCAACAACCAAGCGCCCAACTGAATACACGAATTTTTAATTTTTAAAGAGAACCCCCTAAAAGATATCCCCTCTCTATTGCTTTAAAGGAGACAACAAGAGAGAATGCCTTGGGAAAACCCTTGATGAGCTGCAGGGTATAGCTATAAGAACTATCAAAATGCTATAACAAATATTTTCTTATATAGTATAATGCACTAAAATGTTATCTCTACAAACTTACGGAAATCTAAGCATACAAAATGTAAATAATATATGTTTAGGGTCGCTAATCAGCCTTGTAAAATAAACAAAAGTACAAATCAACGTTGCAACATTTGGTTTGATTTTTTAGGCCAAAATGTCATTTGACATAATATGAAAATTATAATATCTCGCCCAAAATTTGCCAAATGTGATATATTGTTTTGCGACAAGCCCTATAAAAGCATATATCGGCCAACATATTGGCTGATATATTGGTCATATCGCATATATATCACCCAAAATACCCAAAAAGCAGCAAAGGATATTTAGAGACCATATTGGTTGCGGCAAGCCCTGTAAAAGGATATATTGGGGGATATATCGGGCCATGTCAGGTATATTTAAAACAACGATAAGAACAACTATCGATTATTAGGTACATTACCATCCTTAACAAGGAGGAGCTGCTGAGGAAAATTCCCCTGAGATCATAAGGAAAAATAGCAAGATTTCGGGACTAATTAAAAATATGAAAGGTTTAATGGACCAATAACGAAAAAAAAAGCCTACTAACTAATGGCTGCAAAAAGGCTGTTTGCGTATAGAAAAACATCCGTGATTGCCTCGCCACTGTCGTAAGCTAAACAAAGCACTAATCATCTTACAACAATCATTTCCTTGGGCAGATTAATACCCGCCTAGAAAAGATAAATGTTCCTCACAAATTAGCTACATTGCAGGATACCATAAAGTCTTACCTCCTTTACATATAAAAACATAGATGTCAGCAATGTGGGACACTAACTTCTTGGGGGGGGGGGGGGGTGTTTTCTTTTTCAAAAGAATAAATAGGAAAAAACATGAGAATTTAAGCAAATAAAATGCATACCTTAATTGCAACATAAATCGTGAGGTTCTTTTTACCATTACTGATATCAGCTAGCATATATCTTAAATTTAACTCTTGCAAAACCCCTGATACCTACACTTAAGAACCAAGCCTAAAACATACCATGTTCCCCAGCATAACATATAAGCGTACCCATTGCACCTGATTCCTAATGAGTGGCATACCACGCTCCCGTTCCCATTCTGTGAACTGGTAAGAACCGAGTTACATGCAACTATGTACAAAAACCTCATTTTTTTAACTTGATCCTTTCACAAAGGAAATCAAAGAAAAAGTGTAAACTTCCTGAACAAGCCATCAACGAATAGATCGCTTCAACCAAGAGCTTACGCCTCGTTAGGTATGTAGAAATCGAGTTAAATGAGAGTGGAAGGAAGTAAGGAATGGAATGGGCATGAGAATGTTCATTCCCATTCCCATGTGTGGGCGTGCTTAGAGAATGAAGCAGGAATAACAATCATTTAATTTTTGGTGTTGGGTAATTAATAACCAATTAAGTGGGAATTCCCATTCTCAAACATTAAATTGGGAATGCTCATTCCACAAAATGTTGGTGAGTTAGAGAAGTAGAAATGAGCTTGCTAACTTCCAAATAGATGTTGTGTTTGGAAAGCATGAATGATAGTGGGAATGGAATGCCCATCATGTTTGGAAAGCATGAATGATAGTGGGAATGGAATGCCCATCATGCGTACCAAGCGAAGCGTTAGAGATTCAGATCAGCCCTTTAATCCGACAAAATATACGGGGACAAACCCAAACCCTAATTCCATCTCCCTATTTATCCTCCGTTCTAGCCGCAAGAAATACCAAATGACTGCAAAAATGCCTCACCATTGGAAACAAAAAGATTTTGAAGGTAAATAGATTGAGGTGTATATAGGCAAAAAAGGGACAAAATAATACCAAAGAGGGCAAATCATCATCGCCTCTGAGAAGGGAGAAGAGATAATGCAAATTCATTTATCGGATATACTTAGATGAACAATTGATGAACAATTTGCTGATTATTCGGTTTGTTTCCACCCTTAAAAAGGAGGAGCCATTGAGGAAAATTCCCCTATGATCATAATGAAAAGTGAAAAACCTTTGCTGAGAGATAAAATCGAGGATTAATTACATACTGGTACCTTGAAGTATGGTCTAGTTACCCAGGTGCATGGGTAACCTCGAGACTACTGATTGTCATTACACGGATGACCCTGAAACATGGCTGTAAATGGTTGTTTGAATATAGCAAACCATCCAAGATTGCCTAACATTCTATGGGACTAAACTGGATAACCAACTTCGTTTTGCCCCATAAAGATTACAACATCACGACTCTAAAAAAATGCATTAGTTTATTTTAATCCCACATCGGTGAGGTAGAAAGCTGGAAGGTAGGGAGTTGGCTATAAAAGAGGGCTCGGGTGCAACCCTGCAACGTTTTAGAGCACACCTTCTTGGCCTTTTAGCTTAAGATCAAGTGTCGTATCTGTTCTATCAGTGTAATGTCTAATATGTGCACTTTACCCTCAAATCTCTTTAGTAATTTCATGCTTTCCATATGAAATTAAGCAACACAAATTCAAATAATAAGTAGTAGCAAAACTTGCCCTAATTAGTGGCTGCAAAATGGCTGTTCGAATATAGCGAACCATCCAAGATTGCCTCGCCACTGCATAACCGCAGAAGAAAGATAATTGTTAACCGCAAATTAGCTAAATTGCAGAAGATCACCATAAAGTCTTACCCTTCCTTTACATATAAAAACCTCCTTTCCCTGTCTTGATTGATCCTCTCAATAAAGAAATCAAACAGCGAGACTTACTGAATGAGCCATCAACGCACAGAATCTCTTCAACCAAAAGCTTAGAGACTCAGATTAGCCCTTTAATCAAACACAACGAAAGGGAATAAACCCAAACCCAAACCCTAATCTCATCTCTCCCTCTCCCTCTCCCTCTCCCTCTCCCCCTCTTTCTGTCTGCGGAAAATACCAAAATGGCTGCAAAAATGCCTCGCCATTGGACACGCATGCAGATTTAGAGGGGGAAATTCAACAATACGATGTATTTGAGGGGGTAAACAATAGCGTATTTAAGTGCCAGTTAGCCAAAATAAATAAATAAAACCAAAAGCAGATGGGGTTTTGGGTTTGGGGGGTAAAAACCCTAGATCTCGCCGAAGAGGGCGAATCATCATCGTCTCTTTTGAGAGAAGGGATCAGAGAAATAAATGCAAAATGTTGCCATCGTCATAAATCCAACATAAAATCCATTCAACCAAACATCCCCTAACCTCACTTCACTTAACCCGCTACCAAACGAATATAGCAAACCATCCAAGATTGCCTAACATTCTATGGGACTAAACTGGATAACCAACTTCGTTTTGCCCCATAAAGATTACAACATCACGACTCTAAAAAAATGCATTAGTTTATTTTAGTCCCACATCGGTGAGGTAGAGAGCTGGAAGGTAGGAAGTTGGCTATAAAAGAGGGTTCGGGTGCAACCGTGCAACGTTTTAGAGCATGCCTTCTTGGCCTTTTAGCTTAAGATCAAGTGTCGTATCTGTTCTATCAGTGTAATGTCTAATATGTGCGTTTTACCCTCAACCTCTTTAGTAATTTCATGCTTTCCATACGAAATTAAGCAACACAAATTCAAATAATAAGTAGTAGCCAAACTTGCCCTAATTAGTGGCTGCAAAATGGCTGTTCGAATATAGCGAACCATCCAAGATTGCCTCGCCACTGCATAACCGCAGAAGAAAGATAATTGTTAACCGCAAATTAGCTAAATTGCAGAAGATCACCATAAAGTCTTACCCCTCCTTTACATATAAAAACCTCCTTTCCCTGTCTTGATCCTCTCAATAAAGAAATCAAACAGCGAGACTTACTGAATGAGCCATCAACGCACAGAATCTCTTCAACCAAAAGCTTAGAGACTCAGATTAGCCCTTTAATCAAACACAACGAAAGGGAATAAACCCAAACCCAAACCCTAATCTCATCTCTCCCTCTCCCTCTCCCTCTCCCTCTCCCCCTCTTTCTGTCTGCGGAAAATACCAAAATGGCTGCAAAAATGCCTCGCCATTGGACACGCATGCAGATTTAGAGGGGGAAATTCAACAATACGATGTATTTGAGGGGGTAAACAATAGCGTATTTAAGTGCCAGTTAGCCAAAATAAATAAATAAAACCAAAAGCAGATGGGGTTTTGGGTTTGGGGGGTAAAAACCCTAGATCTCGCCGAAGAGGGCGAATCATCATCGTCTCTTTTGAGAGAAGGGATCAGAGAAATAAATGCAAAATGTTGCCATCGTCATAAATCCAACATAAAATCCATTCAACCAAACATCCCCTAACCTCACTTCACTTAACCCGCTACCAAACGAGACACCTCAACATTTTAGGTTCCCCCCTCCCCTTCTAGAAACATGGCTGTAAATGGTTGTTTTAATATAGAAAACCATCCAAGATTGCCTAACATTCTATGGGACTAAACTGGATAACCAACTTCGTTTTGCCCCATAAAGATTACAACATCACGACTCTAAAAAAATGCATCAGTTTATTTTAGTCCCACATCGGTGAGGTAGAGAGCTAGAAGGTAGGGAGTTGGCTATAAAAGAGGGCTCGGGTACAACCGTGCAACGTTTTAGAGCATACCTTCTTGGCCTTTTAGCTTAAGATCAAGTGTTGTATCTGTTCTATCAGTGTAATGTCTAATATGTGCACTTTACCCTCAACCTCTTTAGTAATTTCATGCTTTCCCTTTGAAATTAAGCAACACAAATTCAATTAATAAGTAGTTCCCTAACTAATGGCTGCAAAATGGCTATTCGAATATAGCGAACCATCCAAGATTGCCTCGCCACTAGGGGTGCATTCGGTCCGGATATGACTCGGATATGATGCTTACCATATCCATATCCGTTTACCCATCTCGGATACGGATTTATCACTGTAAGGCAAATTCATATTCATATCCGCTAAAATCGGATACGGTTACGGATATAGATGCGGATATATAAGTGGATATGTATGTATATATAAAATGAATATGAAAAAACTAGATAGTATTGAGAAAAACATGGTTTATGTGATGCAAAAGAGGTCATTAATAAGTTCATTATAAGTAAAAAAGCTAAGATTAAAGATATTGATCATCAAAATTAACCACAAATCCATAATTTAAGTAACAAAATTATTGTAAGAGTATGACTAATATGTATTCAGATATTTCAGATATAGATGCAGATATTTCACCATAAAATCATATCTGTAACCATATCCTATTGGTTATAGATTTGAGTAACCATATTCACATTCTAACAGATACGGTTACGGATATTTCCTCGGATACGGATACGGTTTAGCACCCTAACCGCAGAAGAAAGATAATTGTTAATCGCAAACTAGCTAAATTGCAGAAGATCACCATAAAGTCTTACCTCCCTTACATATAAAAACCTCTTTTTTTCCGTCTTGATCATCTCAAGAAAGAAATCAAACGGCGAGACTTACTGAATGAGCCATCAACGCACAAACTCTCTTCAACCAAAAGCTTAGGGGATGTTTGTTTCAACTTTTTTTTTTGGGATATAGGATGAAAAGTGGGGTTTTTTAAGTTTATGGATTCCATAACTTTTGTTTGATTCAAAATAAATTTTGGGATATTGATTACCCAAATAATAAAAAACTAATATATTATAGCATTTGTGAAATCCCCTCTTTGAGAGAGAGGATTTATGTTAGATTTCAAATTCTAAAATTTGCAATGCTACAATTTAAGTTTGAAACAAACAAAATACAAATTATAGGATTACATATCCCAAAATATTGATGGAACAAACAACTCTTCAGAAATTCCAACCCATGTTAAAAAACCTATGGATTTCAAATCGCATGGTGAAATCCATATCCTAAAATTATAGGATTTGAAACAAACACCTCCTTAGAGACTCAGATTAGCCCCTTTAATCAAACACAACGAAAGGGGATAAACCCTAACCCTAACCCTAATTCCATCTCTCTCTCTCTCTCTCCCCCCCTCCACCCCCTCTCCCCCTTTCTGTCTGCGGAAAATACCAAAATGGCTGCAAAAATGCCTCGCCATTGGACACGCATGCAGATTTAGAGGGGGAAATTCAGCAATACGATGTATTTGAGGGGGGTCAAACAATAGGGTATTTAAGTGCCAGTTAGCCAAAATAAATAAATAAATAAACAAAACCGAAAGCAGATGGGGGTTTTGGGTTTGTGGGGGGGAATAAAAACCCTAGATCTCGCCGAAGAGGGCGAATCATCATCGTCTCTTCCGAGGGAAGGGATCAGAGAAAAATAAATGCAAAACGTTGCCATCGTCGTAAATCCAACATAAAATCCATTCAACCAAACATCCCCTAACCTCACTTCACTTAACCCGCTGCCAAACGAGACCCCGAAGAGATGGAGGAGGGTAAAGTGAGCTGCGACGTCGTCGAGGGGGAGCGATCAGCAATAAGTGCTGAGCTGGGGAATACGAAACCGCTCCACGTGTCCGTATGTGCAGAGGTGGGTCATACGTTACGTGTGCGGGCTTGATCTCAAAACTTGTCTATCATGGCCTATGGGCTTGATTTGGGCTATATCCGAGTGGGTCAGCGACTCAATTATAAGCTTTCATTTAACGGAGTCTTAGGGCCTGTTTGGTTCAATAGCGGGTAGGAATAGGATTATGAATCCTATTTTATTTATGGATTCTAACCTAATCCATAAAAAATTTATAGGCAAGTTTTAGTTTTATGGAATCCCATTTTTTTTTTATATTCTATGTTTGTTTCACCCAAAGGATTAGGAATAGGATTAGGAATCAGAATAAAAAAGAGGAGAGGTGTCAGAAATTCCACCCAATTCCTAGCAAATGGACTGGATTTAGATTTCCTGAAATATACACTGTTTGAGCCACTTTATAGATTAGCAATTCTATAATTTTTTTTGAACCAAACTCAAGATTAGGATTCATTTGGAATCAATTAATTACGAAAACGCCATTGTCAGGTCCAAATACCATTCCTATTCCATAAAATTGGTGAAACAAACATGCCCTTAGGGCCTGTTTGTTTCGTTTCCCCCAGAATCCAAAACCCACTTTCCTTTACTTTTTCACTTTTCCCCACTTTCCAAAACACACTTTTCTTCACTTTCTCCACTTTCTTCCAATAATATTGTGACAACTCATCCCACCACATCTCATTTCATACTTTTAAAAATAAACAAAACACAAGAAATGAGTCACATCAATCAACTCATCTAACTCACTTTCCCCCACTTTTCTTCATTTTCTATCATCTTTAAAAATTACTCACATCATCCAATAATATGGTGACAACTCATCACATCTCATTAAAATTTCCTTCCATCACTTTCCTCCAAAAAAACAAGGATAGTGGAGGAAAACTCATCTCATCTCATCATCCAATAATATGGTGACAACTCATCTCATCTCATCTCATCTTTTTTTCCCAACTTTTAAGAATGAACCAAACACAAGAAAAAATCTAAACAAGGAAAGTGAAGGAAATCATCAAAAATTACTCACATCAACCAATAATATAGTGACAACTCATATTTTTCCCCCACTTTCTTTTATAGCTTTGACGAACCAAACCTCTGAAAGTGGAGGAAAACGTCAAAAATTATTTTCTTTTCCCCCACTTTCCTCCACTTCCTGTATTTTTTTGCGAAACAAACAGGCCCTTAAAGGATACATTCAGAAGTGTGGCTATATTTTTTTTTCCCTCCTTCATGGGACCGATAATTTTTACATAACTTCTACGTTGGATCTATATTTTGTTCGCAAGCTAAAAAAACACGAGCTTGTCCAAAATTTACAACTAAGATGACATAATTTCTTCTAATCTAGAATCCAATATCTGATCAGAGTACACGCTTCAGATTGAATCATCTGAACCACATCGAACACCCTTAACGAAAAAGGGGTAAAAAAAAGAACAATCAAAACGTAAATAAACTAAAATGAGAATATGGATGGAAAATGCAAGAGGATCAACACCAAAAGGATGAGAACCTACTTAAAAAAAGACATCCCAAGCGGGCTCTGATATGTAACATAAATAGACCGCTGACATAACCAAAATAAAAGGAAACAAACAACGATATGACGCTGTTATTATATAACAAATCTTTCTTCACACTGACTTGGGGCCCGTTTGTTTGCACGGAAGTAACTATGAAATAGCAGAAGTAGAGGAAGTAGAGGCTACTTCTGCTACTTCGAGACAAAAATATATGCTTGTTTCTCTTGAAAATTTACTTCTGCTACTTCTTTAAATAATGATGTGACGCCTACGTGTCATCTCTATTTCCTTAATTTTTTTCCGTCATCAAAGCTCTGAAATACGGTGGAAGTTATATAGGGTGGGGTCCACCGGAAAAAAAACGCTGGTGATTGTTTTTCCTGTTGTTTTGATCTGTTAGGCATGAATGATCCCTCTTGAGTTGTGGACCAAGATCAGAAGTGCATAATACACAAGCAAAAATGATCCCCATTGGCCATTGGTGCAGCTTGACCAAGATACTAAATTAGCAACCAAGAGAAAAGAAGGAGAAAAAAACAATGTCGTGCGTGCTGCTTCATGATCTTCGGCACCAATAATTTATATCTCCGTGTCATATCCCTTGATGCGAAATGGAAAGAATAATTTTATTATATATCAAGCAAATCAACTATGAATATTAGTCTCTTCAATTGATGACAACAACAACTCTATTTATATTTCAATGACAATCTAAATAAGAATAAAATAGAAACAACATGTATTAATTACTTCCTAATAATATTTTTAAATATTATCCAAACAAAAAAAGTAAATGAAGAGGAAGAAGTTCTACTTCCATTACTTCTAAAAATATATGAAACAAACAAAAAAAATGTTATTTCCGCTACTTCCTATTTCATAATTTTGAAAATTACTTCCATAACCTACTTCTTACTTCCAATACTTGCAATATCCAAACGGTCCCCTGAAAGAACAGTCAAAGCAATCGGCAATCAAGAACGTATCTTAACAAGACACAGAACAACATGCTTTTCTTCCAGAACCATAATACAGTCATTCAAAATGATACATCTCTTTACCATACTTTATCTATAAATATGGAAACTTGTTCTCAATATGCAAAACAAATACAATTTTCTCAAAAAGTATATCACCATGCAAGAGTCGCGACACAATCAAGACACCGCTCAGAGAAAGCTTACGCCATTAAGCTCTTCTGCTAGTACCCGAAGAATTGTCATCTCCGAATAGTTGGTCCGCAGCTTCCTCTTTGAAGTCTCACACGACTTAAAACTTATTAACCCTGTTGAAGGTCAAAAGAAATATGGCTTGTTTTAGGAGGCAGATCTACACACTACTATATATCGTTCTACAAACTGAAGATATAGCTCCAATATGACTATGAATACTGTTTATTCTACAAGTACTTTTTCAGACATTAATATATAACTTCAGTACAGGTTATGAAAGGGATTTTCTCCCCGAAAAAAGTGTCTTAAATAGCGGTGGAAAGCTAAAATTTGCCCCTTTTTGAGCATTATGATTTAACTTGCATGGATACAAGTAAGGGTACGGGACACGACAAATTTAAAAAGGTAGATATATATATATATATATATATATAAGTTAATAATTTACAGAAGATCAATACATAAGAAATACATGTGAAGAATTTACATTCAAAAAGTGCACGAGGAGTGTTTTAAACTAAAACATGTATTATATAATTGAGTATATGCTTGAATAAATGTATGCATATGTTCAAGAAGTGTCCAAGGAGTTTGGTCACCTCGTAATAGTGCTGGAAAAATAAAACAGGAAAGGAAAAATAATCTGAACAAATCACTAAAACCCTGGACATTAGCACTTTAATCCCCGATTCCAAAATGGAGCAAGTAATCTCACTTTATATGCAAACATCACACATGTATCATGTGACATTAATGTGTCCTCCACAGATATAGATCCCCTATATTTCGTTGTGTTGCAGAGACTTCCTATTTCCCTAATGCTATACATAGATCCGCTGTGGTACAGTTACAAATAACAGCCAAAACTCTGTTAGAGCACTGGGGGAACTAAGTGCTGATACAAAAGTTTATGGGTGAGAAGAGGTTAAATTCTTATGGTACCTGGATCTATGTGCGCATATAGTCCAATATAAATTCCGGTAACACAAACTAACTCATGATTTTGTTGGCAAATCATCATAGCCATATTGTTTGTATGTATGTAAGTAAATAGATGAAACTAGAAGATAGTCTGTGGCAATTTGGCCCGCTAATAAATAGAAATCACTACTAGATAGTAAGCTGAGTAGGACAACACTGGCAATTTGGCCCGCTAATAAATAGAAATCACTACTAGATAATAAGCTGAGTAGGACAACACTTCCCACCCTCCACAATTTAGCACACCCATAATTAGGAATTATCTACTAGATAGTAAGGTGTTAAGATCTAAATGTCAAGATAAAAAACAAAGCAAAGAGAAACAATCTAGAGAGCATTTCAACTATCACTGTAAAAAAAGTAAAAACCTGCAAGGGATGTCCTTTCTCACCTTTTACCTCTTCGCCTCAACCTAGAGAGGAGCATAAGAGGAATAGCAGTAAAAATCCTCAACCATCTCGCCACCCCTTCTTCATTCAGCCGCAATGTGCATGTTTAATGCCTCAATGGTTGCTGTAACACCTTCCAATGTAACCTCACCATCAAAACAGACCAAGCCTGATCAAAGGTAATTCTGTATTTGTGCCGATAGTACCTAACCCTTACCACAGGTACTAATATATAATAAACCATCCTGCTAAAGTTAAAGAGGAAAAAAAAATGCAAAGAGAATGATTACAAGAGCAACCAATGGAAACTGTTCCACAAAAAGTAGAAGTAAAGCAGCAAGATTTAAACAAGATGAGATAATTACCTTAACATAAAAAACATAATCATATTACCTAAACATTAACGAAAAGCATAGATTATAAAAATTAGAAAAAAGAAGAAATGATGACTAAGATCTGCCAACCTACCGAACATAATGGTTTAGGAGAAAGCCTTTCCCCTTCTTGCTTTTTTCCCCCTCTACATTATAGCTGAAAATAAATGGCTGCAGAGGCTTGCCCGAAACCATTAAATTCTGCCTTGCCATCACAGTATAATTTTGGGAGCAGCTATGAATTGTGATTAGAAATGTTGGGACAACGAAGAAACCTGTGATAAATGAGGACAACCTAAATGGGAAAGTTAAGATGAACGAAAAATAGTGGAGTACCCTACGAGATAGGACATGTAACAAATTTACAAGTAGGAAGCTAGAGATGTCTTCAATTGGGGATGAGACAAAGATAAACATTTAAAATTCATTGACACAAGGAACATAGAAAATGAATTCGCCAGTTAAAACAAAGTGATAAGATGTAGTTGATTGTGACAATGACTGACCAGAATGATAAAGGATTGAGAAAGTAAAAAAAGGACATGATTTCTGATATTTTACCATATCATTGGCCTTCAAGAATGCTGAATGGACGTTGTTCTGGTTCGATAACCATTTTCTGTGGGTCCGATAATCATTTTCTTTGGGCAAATCATCATCAACTGTTTATATTTTTTAGAGGAATGTCATCATCAGTATCATCATCCAATAATACTAATAGCAATAATAAATAATAGTAAAAATACAAATAATTATTATTTTCCTCGTGCTCCAAAGGGAGGCTTTACTCGTGTTTTTGAAGCAACAAAAGATGTCATAAAATAAATAACCCTAACATAACATAAGAGTTGAGTACAAATTCTCTATCAGAACATCTACCCAGATGCAAGTGATGTCTTGCAATTTCTTCAAAATTCAGATCTCTGCAGCATTAACGAATATCTGGAAAATGGTAGCTTGCAATAGAGCAAGGCAAGCTATCCAAGTTGCATCGACATTATTGTACACAGACAGAATAAAATTCCCAAGGACTTGCAACTATCATTTTCATTAGGCAATCATTTCTCACCAACAAATGAAAATGCCAATCAGAAACAAGCTTTTCAATAACTGCTCAACTCAACATAATTATTACCCTAGGGCAAACATGAATAGGAATCCTATCAAAATAACTGCTATAACTGTGGGGGAGTTTGCATCATAAATAGAATAGTTAGTTTCCAAACTAACCCTCTACACCCATGAATGGTATAGATCAATGGGGGTGTACTGATAGAAATTGTACTTGCAAATCATTAATTACAGAACAAAGGAAAAGATTTATCAGAAGTTAACTAATTTGCAGTGTATCATAAAGTTTTACTGCTTTACACATAAAAAGCATTTATTTCTCTTGATCCTGTCAATAAATAGAAAATCGAAGGAAAACTGCGTGAACTTCATGAATAAGTCATCAAAGCAAAGATCTATTCAACCAAGACCTCAGAGAGTCAGGTCAACATAACAATCAGACAAAGAAACGGAGGGTATACCAGAACCCTACTTTCTCTCTGCAGAAAACACCAAAATTGCTGCAAAAGTGCCTGCCATTGGAAAACAAGGTTGCAGATTGTCTAAAACATGGGGAAGTAAGTTCAAAACAGCAATAAAGAAACTCAATGGCTAAGGACCCTTCCAGTACACCAAAACCTGGCTGTAATAGTGGTGAGGGTTGAAGTTGTAATTTTATACTAACACTTGCAAAAGAACTCAAAGCCAGAATCCCAAATCTCAATAAAGAGCACAAACCATCATTTAGAAAACCATAATTACTTAACCCGATTTCAATAAGGAGAATGCAAAAAAATAAGGGTTGAAGTTGTAATTTTATACTCTAATACTTGCAAAAGAAACTCAAAGCCAGAATCCCAAATCTCAATAAAGAGCACAAACCATCATTTAGAAAACCATAATTACTTAACCCGATTTCAATAAGGAGAATGCAAAAAAAAACAATAAATGTTAAACGGAATAAAAATCGTAATGTTTCATCTTATCTGCAGAGAAATAATTTATTTTTTTAATATTTTTGCAACCCATGAAAAAAGTGCAAGAAATTAAACAAAAAAGGAGACTCAGATCAGACCTTATCATCAGACATGAGGGTATGGCTGCAAAAGAGGATGGCCTGCAGAGTAGCAGACAGTCCATGCTTTACCTCGCCATTAACCAATGCAGACACTCTCAAAGGTGAGAAGTATGTGAAACTATAAGGTATTTAGGTGTCAATCTGCAACAAAAGGACTACAGGTGCTCAGTTTGGCCATAGTACAGGGGATCTATCCGCAATTAACCCTAAGTAAAGTTTGCATTTGGGTTTATGGGAACATATAGAACTACATGGGCGTAAATGGGGGCTAAACTTTGGGTTTATAAGCAAGAACCCCTTGAAAAATGAGCGACGAAAGAGGCAATCGAAAGCTTTGAGACAACAATCCTCTTTATATGTGGTATCAAAGAAAAATCAACACAATTTCCTAGATCCCAATAAAGAGGGCAAATCATCATCGTCTCGGAGAAAAAATAATCAAGATTTGAGAGACAACCAATATCAGAACACTAAATTTAGAAGCAGGAGATATGCTGAAAGATATCCTCATGCTTCAAAAGGCATCACTCACTTCAAAAACAAGAAAAATTATCATGAAATTGTTGGGCTCTGATACCACTTGTGCGCGCGAAAGCTACAAAACCAAACCGATGTGCTTCGAGGAACCAAAACAAAAGAACGCCGAGAGAGAAAGATCAAACAATACAAAATAACGACACGAACACAAACAACCAATTTTAACGTGGTCTGGCAAGTTGCCTACGTCCACGGAGCAAGAAGGGGATGAGTTTTTACTAATAGAGAAGAAGAGTACAAACTGAGATTACAAAATCACACAAACTCACCAATTAATCTCACCAAAAAATCTCTAATTCTCTCCAAACAAAACCCTAACCAATAGCTCAGAAAATACCTCTTTTCTGTGCTCCAAATATCCCCTTCGCTACACAATTCTCTCTTCCAATCGTTCCATATATATAGAAATCCTAAAACCAAAAACATACTAGGAATTCTAAAACCAAAAGCAAAACAGATTATGAATTCTAATAACATGTTACCAAAACAGATTTGGAATCCTGTTACCAAAACAGATTAGGAATCCCAATAACCTGTTACCAAAATAAATTAGGAAACATATTAGGAACCTGCTATCCAACAGAAATAACAAAGGCTAAAGGCCAATTTGGTCCATGTATTATGGGCCTCATACTCAAATTAGTCCCTCTTCTTTCTTCTTGTTCAACTTAGTTCCCGTACCATACATCAGTTACAAACTAAGTCAAGCTTCCCATGGACTTATCATCTTACCACAAATTGACACTTGACAGTATTATGGGGTAATTTTGTTTTGGGCAACAAGGACAAGATTTTGGAGCTCGAGGTATAGTTAGTCGAACAACTAACTATACAAACTATTTATTGATTATTTGGTTCCTTTCCACCCCTAGCAAGGAGCCACTGAGAGAAATTCCCCTTAGACCATAAGGAAAACCCTCGTTTGGAGATAAAATTAATTAGGATAGACCTCCTGAGCCAAAAGAGTAAAAAATAATTCAATCAGGGGTCTACCTGCAACAGAACTACAGAAGGTCTATCCACAATAGGGAGATAATACAGAGGTCTATCCACAATTAGCCCAATCAATTATCTGAATAGCAAGATTTTGGATCTAATTTCAAAATATGAAAGATTTAAGGGACGAATACCAAAAAAAATGTTCATTACTTCATGGCTGCAAAAGTGGTTGTCAGCAATATAGCAAACCATCCAAGATTGCCTCGCCACTGTAGTAAATAATTTTTTTTATCAGCAGCAATTCATACAAGAAATTAAACAAAAAAGGAGACTCAGATCAGCCCTTCTAATAGACATGATGTATGGCTGCAAGCAAGCACGAGAGTAGCAGACCATCCAAGCCTGCCTCGCCATTACACGAGAAATGCTCAAGCAACAAAAATAGTTGTCTGGGCCCACGGGCTGCCAGGGTGTGGTTAGTAAAAAAAAATCTTCAACTTAAGCGGGTTTTATGATATTTATAAAGTTATGGGGGGATATCTGATAATCATCCAAAGCTAAGAGGGGTTTTCTGAGTGATGTACTACCCTGGCTTTCAGGTTGACGCTTTGTCCAAATCAAAAGAAAACAGCAAAACCCCGATCCCAGTCAAGCAGACAAATTATCATCGTCTCTGAGATAGAAAAAAGTAAGATCTGATATAACAATACTAAAGAGACATCCTCAAAGGAATTCTTTTCTCCAGGGGAAGGCATCGCTCATGCTTCAAAATCAAGAAAAATTATCATTAAATAAATAAGGGTAAATTTCAGAAAACCACCATGAACATTGGAGTCCATTCACAAAACTGGCATAGACTATCCAAGATTGTTTGCAATACTAATAATGGCTGCAAAATCCTGGCTTGTGATGTAGCAAACTGTCCAAGATTGCCTCGCCACTGTAGTATGCAAAACTAAAGCTTCTCAGGGGTAATTGTCAATCCACAATTTTTTCCTGGGAAAAATCAGCTACACTGCAGGAAAACTCCATACATTTTACCTCTTTGTGCACAAAACCACATTTTTTTCTCCTGATCCTTTCAAAAAGCAACGAAAGAAATTCTGTTCTCCACCTGAATGACCTTGATGTATTACTCTTTTGCACAAATTTCTAACCATGAGCTCAGAGACTCAGATCAGTCCTTTAACGAGACATGATAAAAGGGCTAAACCCAAACCATAACCCTCATTTCATCTCTCTCTCTCTTTCTCTCCCCTCTTTTCGACAGAATACTAAAATGTCTGCAAACTGCCTCGCCATTGGAAAAGAATTTTCTGCACTTTACCACAATGGCTGCAAAGTTGCCTCTCCATTGCAAAAGAGAAACATAAGTCTGAAAAAAAAATAATGGGTAAATTCTTTAAAAAAACAAAAGTTTGGACCGTTTCTCACAAAAGGCCCCCGAACTTTGTTTTTCCCAATCCCAATCTTTTCATAGAAGCAGATAGGGTTCTGACTTAGGAAGTAGAATGGACCAAATTCTTTTGAGCAAAAAAACTTACAACAAAGCCTAAAATCTTGCAAAGACAGCAAATCATCATCTTCTCTGAGAATGGTGAAGAGAATAAGAACTTGGGAGACTTAATAGCAATTTCAAAGATTTGGGGGACTAATTAAAGTTTAAGGGACTAGTATCTAAAAAACCCAAGTTAACGATACATGTAATGTGAAGGGCATATATGAAAAAAAACCGTTATCATGATTGCCAAATTGAAGGTACACGTGGCCAGGTCTCGCTTGTTCAAATGATAGAATTGGGTTACATGCATAAAACAGAAGAACATCATAAAATCTTAACCTCCAAACCTCATGTTATGACAAACTCCCAAGGATAAGCTAAAATCAATCACACGAGAACACGAAAAATATCAAGAACACACGAACACAAAGATATATGTGGTTCGGCTTGTAGCCTTCGTCCACAGGTGAAGGAGGTGAAAAGCTTTACTAAATAGTGAGGAATACAAAGTGGAGATCTTTCAATCACTCGATCCCAAATAACACCCCAAGATTCACGTACAATCTCTCTAAATAAAAGGAACAAAAGAAGAAATAATTCACGACGACGGGATTCCGAAGGAACTTTGTTTCTCTCTGCATTGGTGCTACAGTTGATGATGATGCTTAATAGAACCTGTCGGGCCTTCTTTTATAGGAGCTTCTCCAAGTCGTTGGCCAATAGGAAACCGTACATGAATAGAATTCTAATATGAGTCGAATTCATGACAAATCAATCCTATCAACACTTGAGTATGAGAACTCCAACAAGGGCCTGTTGGAATCCAATCAAATTAGATCAAAAGTCCTTATTCCACTAGGATTAAGACTTAATTAAGATGTCTACACCAACTCAAATTCTAATGACTACCACATACAGTCATGGCCTCATGGTTGATTTCGAAATCGAATTACTTCGAGATTTGAGTCACACCACAACACCTCATTTTTTTTTCTGTTGATCTTTTCAAGGAAATCAAAGAAAAATAGTGTGAAGTTCCTGAACAAGCCACCAATGCACAGATCTCTTCAACAGAGAGCTTAGAGACTCAGATGACTCAGATCAGCCCTTTAATCAGACATAAAAAAAGGGGATAAAGTGATAAACCCAAACCGTAAGCCTAATATCATCTCTCTCTTTCTCCTTTCTCCCCCTTCTGCAGAAATTACTAAATGGCTACAACAGTGCCTCGACATAAGTAATCTATGCAGATTTTAAGGGTGAGTTTAAAAATATGATACAATTGAGGGGTATATTGACAGAAAACCCCAAAAAAAGTAGGGTATACAATTGAGGGGTATATTGATAGGGCTTCGGTTTAGGCAAAAAACCCTGGATGTCGCACCTGAGGGCAAGTCATCATTGTCTCTTAGAAGGGAGAAGAGATGATGCAAATCCTTAAATTTGTCATAATGTCAAAATATAAATCCAAGAACCAAACAGCCCCTAAACAAACAAAAAAATTCACTCAGGAGGTCTATCTGCGACAATAGAACTAAGGGGGTCTATCCGCAATAAGGCGATTGCTGAGGGGTTAAGTCCACAATTAACCAACTTATTGAATTTGAGGACTAAATAGCAAGATTTCGGGCTAATTTCAAAATATGAATGATTTAAGGGACCGATATCCAAAAAAAACTACTAACCAATGGCTGCAAACCTGGTTGTTTGCAATACAGCAAACCATCCAAGATTGCCTTGCCACTGTAGTATGCAAATTACCAAGCTTCTCGAGGACTAATCATCTTACCCCAATTATTTTCCATGGGCAGATCACTACCTGCAGCAAAAAAGACAAATGTTATCACAAATAAGCTAAATTGCAAAACCACTGTCAAATTTTACCTCCTTTACACATAGAACCTCATTTTTCCCCTTGATCCTTCCATGTAGGAAATCAAATAAAAATACTATGCACTTTCCGAACAGGCCATCAATGCATATATCTCTTCAACCAAGACTTAAAGAGACTCAGATCAGACTTTTAATCAGACATAAACATAAGGAAAAAAACCCAAACCTTAACACCAATTCCATCTCTCTTTCTTTCTATCTGCAGAAAATACCAAAATGACTACCAAAATGCCTCGCCATTAGAAATACACAGATCTAAAGGGGAACTTTAAAAATACCAATAGATTTGAGGCGTATATAGGCAAAAAAGACCCGAAAAAAGTTACCAAAAATAGATAGGAAAATTTTCAGAAAATTACCAAACAGACTCTAAGGGGGAAAACCCTAGATATTCACTGAAGAGGGCAAATCATCATTGTCTCTGAGAAGTGACAACAGAAATAACGCAAATCGCAAATCCATGACATTGTCGTAAATTCAGAATACAAATCAGACAACCAAGGGGATTATCTGCAACACCCTCAAAATTCAAACGGGTTTTCGAACTAAAACAGTCCAGGGGGGTTATCTGCAAAACCCTCCAAAGTTCTGGGGGTTTCTGAAATTAACCCTTGTTTTTTTATAGGATAAATCAATGTTATCAAAGGCGTGCACCTCATGTGCCCTCTGATGTGGGCAGTGGCGGAGAGCCCCGCATCTGAGGCGATAGTGCCTTTTTTGCGCCTCACAAGTGCCCTGCGAGAGGGCGCTTCACACAGGGCACGCATATGGCATAGCCTCGTATATTTTTTGAGGCGATAGTGCCTTTTTTGCGCCTCACAAGTGCCTTGCGAGAGGGCGCTTCACACAGGGCACGCATATGGCATAGCCTCGTATATTTTTTTCATTTACGTTTCAATTGGATCTATATACCCGATCACTCATATTCCAAAAAGAATAATAAACCCATTAGGCTAGTTTCATAGCCTGATTGAGGACCCTTACTCGTCCTCATTTACAATTTGATTTTCTTTTATTGGATATCGGTCTTGATTTGACTTTTGATTTGAAAAATTATGAACTTTGCTACTATGTTGGGTGTGTTAGCATTATGAATTAAGAACATATTGTTTTAGGGAAAATTGTTTCATAGCCTGATTGAGGACCCTTTTTCTTCGGAACGGCGACGCTGAATCCATCGCAACTAGTTATCACCGTCTTCAAGATCGTAGTTTTCTTCGCCTCATGAACGAACACCGGGAAAGTTTCATCGCTGATGTCGACGTGGTTGGAAAATTTTGAAGAGAACTAACCCCCCCCCCCCCCCAAAAAAAAAAAAAAACTCATTTCAAATCATCACAGTGACATCATGAAGAGAGAGAGAGAGAGAGAGAGAGAGTATTATGGCCTTCACATGTTTTAAACTCTTAGGTTTTGTGTTTTGGGGGCTCAGAGAATTGTGGCTTTGTTTTTGGGGGTTTTGGGAGTGTTTAGTGTTGAAAAAGTCTTGGCGGTGGGCATAATACTTGTAAGGATATTGGGGGCCAGAAGCAATTTCCCCATTTTTTATTTCATAGTAGATATTATTTATCTTACCATATTTTATATGTAAAATTTCATAAACATGATTTTTCATGTTTGATTATATATCTTGAAAATTTATATGTGTGGTGTGCGCTAAGCTGAAGCTTGAACATGCACATCACATTGCGTTTTGCGCATCTGCACATAAAGGGACTTTGTGGCCCACATTTCGCATCACGCATCGCCAACACTGCGCTAAATTATCAGTCTGATATGTTTATCAACCCTTTACCATAATTAAATAAATAAGGGTAAATTTCACAAAACCACCATGAACTTTGGTTTCTTCTGCATGAAACTGTCATTAAACTATCAAAGACTTGTTGCAATACTAACAAATGGCTGCAAAATGGTTGCTTGCGCTATAGCAAACCATCCACAATTGCCTTGCCATTGTAGCACACAAAAAATAAAGCTTCCCAAGGACTAATCGTACCAGTCTTTTTCTTTTTTTCTTTTTTTCTTTTTAGAGGAATCCAGTCGTTTTACTGGGGGAATTTTTTGTTCTTTATTTTTTCCTTTTTCCTTTTCTGAGTAAGCCAGGGGCAGCATTTCCTTGGGCAAGGCATTACTTGCACAATAAGGGGGGAAATGTTAATCAGAAATTATATAAATTGTAGAAGAGACCATGATTCTTACTATTTACCATGATTTTTGACAAAGAGCATCTGTAGCAGCTATCGACCCATTTTGGAGCAAACACTTACAGTTTGAACTTTCTGAACAAGCCATCATGTGCATTAGATCTTTCAACCATGAGGTACGAGACTCAGATCAGCCCTTTAATCAGATTATATAGGGTCTAAACCGAAACCTTAGTTTCATCCCCCACCCCCACTCCCCAAAAAAAGCTGCAGAAAGTAAGAAAACAACTGTTACAAATGCCTCGCCATTGGAAATATATGAAGATTTAGAGTCTAATTCTAAAATATGATAGTTTTGACAGGTATATAGGCAATATCAAAAGCAGATATGACTTTGGATTAGGGGGGAAAAGCTAGATCTTAGCAAAGAGGGCAAATCATCATCGTCTCAGAGAAGGGACGAGAAACTTTAGGGTATTTAAATGCAGCCAAATGCAGCTAGGGATATATATGTGCAAAGTAGGTGAAATTATAGGGTATTTAAGTGCAGTTAAGCCAAATAAGTATTAGCCAAACATGCCCTAACTAATGGCTGCAAAATGGTTGTCAGCAATATTAGCAAACCATCCAAGATTGCCTTGCCACTGTAGTATGCAAAGAACCAAGCTTCTCAAGGATTAATCATCTTATAACAGTCATTTTCATTCGACAGATCATTACCTAAAAAAGAAAAGATAAAAAGTCAATAACAACTTAGCTAAATTGCAGAAGAACACCATAAAGCCTTACCTCCTTTACATATAACGGAGTCATCTTTTTCTATTCATCTCATCCTTTCAAGAAAGAAATCAGAGAAAAACAGTGTGATCTTCCTGAACAAGTCATCAATACACAGATCTATTCAACCAAGAACTTAGAGACTCAGATCAGCCTTGAATCAGACATAACAAAATGGGTTTAAGCTAAACCCAAACCCCAACCCTCAATTCATCTCTCTCTCCTTTCTCCCCGTCTGCGGAAATTGCCAAAATGGCTGCAATAATGCCTCGCCATTGGAAATGAATATGAAATTGCCAAAATGGCTGCAACAATGCCTCACCATTGGAAATAAATATAGATTTAGAGGGTAAATTTAAAAATAAACAGATTTGAGGGGTATAAATGCAAACACCCCAAGAAATGATACCGGAGGCAAATTTGGAAATTGCTGGAAACCAACCAAACAGGCCCCTAGAAGGGGGGAAAAGGGTAGATCTCACCAAAGATGGCAAATCATCATCGTCTCTGAGAAGGGAGAATAGAAATAATTGTGAATTCTTGTTGTAAATCCAAAATACAACCCATGAAACCAAAACAGCCCCTAAGTGAACATATGATTTCCTATAAAAGAGGCCATCTAAAAAATTAGGGGTTTTCCTCCCAATTGCTATGAAGAAGGCAACAAAAGAGAGAATGCTTTAAGAAAACCCTTGTTATATTTGATAAGATCGAGAAAATAATCCAAAATCCAACAAAAAAGAGAGGCTAACTTTGCAGAATAATATCATAATGTTTCACCCTATCTCCAAGGAAATATAATGATTTTCATTGACACTCGAGCACCATATGAAAAAGTACACAGAGCAACAGAACTTTACTCGGTTTTGGGATGCTCTTTATCAGCAGCACTAGTTAGAATAAATTAAACAAAAGGAGACTCAGATCAGCCCTTCTCATCAGAGATGAGGGAGTGACTGCAAGAGCATGGCCTGCAAAGTAGCAGACCGCCCAAGGTTACCTTGCCATTAACCAATGCAGATGCTCTCAAAAGTGAGATGTATGTGAAACTATAAGGTATTCAAGTGTCAATTGCAACAAAAGAACTACAGGGTAGTAAGTTCAATTTGGCAATAGTACAGGGTTCCATACGCAATTAACCGAAGTAAACTTCGCATTTTAAATCTATAGAACACTAGTGTGCACCCCGTGCAAAGCACGGCCCCCTATTTTTTTAAGCACTGCATTTTAAACTTACCTCCCTCTAAGTTTTAATACATTTGATTTAATTATTATATGCTTAAAATTAGAAATTATATCTGCTCCTCTATACTTAAAGAAGGATCCAACTTTTAATACATTTAATTTAGAAATCATATCTACTCCTCTATACCGAAAGAAGGATCCAAGTTTTAATACATTTGTTTTACTGTTCAGTAAATTATTGTTGCATGTATAGTAACTTCTAGTGCAGAGGAACAGATTTGGTTGGCTCTTCACGCTACAGTATTTAGTATTTACTGTAGCATGTAAACAGGGGCAAGCTTTGGGTTCATGGGCAAAAACCCTTATAAAAATTGAGAGCACAAAAAAGCAATTGAAAGTTTTGACATGCAGATGCCCCCACACTTTTGAGTTGAGTTGATTACTTGTTGACCGAGTCATTTGCTGACATGGCATGATCTCGCTGAGCCAAATGCCAAAATCCGAGTTATATGCATAACAGAGGCTAATTTCAAAATATGAAAGATTTAAGGAACAAATATTTAAAAAAAAACTACTAACTAATGGCTGCAAAAATGGTTGTCAGCAATATAGCAAACCATCCAAGATTGCATCGCCACTGTAATATGTTACTGTATGTATATTACCCAGCTTTTCGAGGACTAATCATCTTACCCCAATCCTTTCATGTAGGAAATCAGAGAAAAATACTGCGGACTTCTAGAACAAGCCATCAATAATCTCTCTTCAACCAAGGGTTAGACTCAGAATAGCCCATTAATCAAGCATAACAAAAGGGGATAAACCCTAACCACCCTAATTCCAGTTCTCTTCCTTTTTTATATGGAGAAAATGCAAAAATGGCTGCAAAAATGCCTTGACATTGGAAATACATGCAGATTTAGGGGGAGATTTTTTAAATATCATAGATTTAAGGGATATATAAGGAAAAAAAACCTCCAAAAAATAATACCAAAAATAGATGGGGAAATCATAGATCACACGGAGAGGTCAAATCATCATCGTCTCTGATAAGAAGAGAAATAATGCAAATTGCAATCCTCGACATTGTCATAAATCTGAAATACAAACCATCCAACCAAACAGGCCCTAACTGAATGTATGATTTTTTATAGAGCCCTTCTAAAAGATTAGGGTTTTCCCGTCTCTGTTGCTTTGAAGAAGGCAACAAAAAAGGGAATGCTTTAAGAAAACCATCATTTTGGGGATGAGGTTGAGAGAAAAAAGTTTCCATAGCTGTGGATATATTTGTACCCACTAGATTTTATGCATGTGCAATGCACGTGGTAAAATACCATGATTAAGTATTTTTTTATTTATTTCCTTACTAAAATTTATTCTCGGTTCTACTTTGATAGTTTTTGCTCACTTCTGTATCTAAACTTTTGTATTGTGATTATTTATTTTCTTTGATGCTTGTTTGACTAGAATACACTGAATTTAAATTTTCATATTATTTGGACCGACATGAAATCAAGCTTGACTTGAGAAAGTATAGTGTTGCGATAGTAAAAAACACTTGAAAAAAATAGCATTATAAAAAACAGACGAATAATTAAAGCCAATAAGCTAAGATGATTGATGAAAAGTGGGCTAGAACGAAACTAAAGAGAATAATTAAAGCCAATAAGATAAGATGATTGATGAAAAGTGGGCTAAGAGGATACTTTGTGCAATTTTTGAAACTTTTTGGGGTTTTTTTTAATACTTCATGTATTATAATATGTTAGTTATGTATGATTTCTTAATCTTATTTTTGTTAAATTGTTAAGCTATAAGTAGTTCGCGTGAGATTAGTATATGATATAATTAGTATTATGATAGATTAAGATTTAAATGAAATATTCAAATTAATGTTTCATGTATTTCATTAATCTAATTTTTTAAGTCGTTGAGCTATAGGTAGTTCACGTGAGATTACGAATTAGTATAAGATATAATTAGAATTATGACAAATTAAAATTTAAATGAAATATTTAAAATAATGAAGGGTAATATTGACCATAGAAAGCCTTTCCCGAACTCGTGTTTTTAAATGGAGTATGATATTTTATCTGATATGGTTATGGACGCAGTTGTGTAGTAAAATATTTGTACCATATCCGAAATATCCGAATTTATGTTGATTATACCATTGCAATTGTTTTTTATCCCTAGATTCATGGATTTGAGGTAAATTTTGATGATACATAGATCTAATCTTTTTATATAAAAACATATTAATGGACTCTCTTACATCATATGAACTGCATTTTTTTCAACCTTATCTAATTTTCATAAAATCCGTTTTGCATCCACATGAATACTCCAAATTTGGTGGATGCGGATGTGAGTATATTGTAAACTCCTTACCGAGACAAAACCACCATGAATTTTGGGGTCCTTTGTACAGAACTGCCATCATCTATCCAAAAGTCATTGCAATAATAACAAATGGCTGCAAAATGGTTGCTTGCTCTCAGCAAAGTACCCACAATTACAACGCCACTGTGGTATGCAAATATTAAAAAAATAAAAAAATAAAAAATCTACCTTCCCAAGGACTAATCAACAATACCAGTCATTTTACTAAGGCAATTTTGTTTTTTGTTTTTGTTTTTGTTTTTGTTTTCTCCTTTTTTTAAGTAACCAGGGCAATATTTCCTTGGGCAAGGCGTTGCTCACACAAAAAAGAAAAATGTCAATCAGCAATTAGCTAAATCGTAGAAGAAATTATAATTATTACTGTTTACGCCCGATTTTCTGACAAAGAGCATCAGTCGCAGCTATTGGTCGATTCTGGAGCAAACACTAAGTGTGAACTTTCTGAACGATCCATCATGAATGCATCAGATCTCTTCAACCATGAGCTAAGAAACTCAAATCAGCCCTTCAATCAGACATAACAAAAGGGCAACAAAAGGGCCTAAACCCAAACCCTTTTTTCATATCCCCATAATGCAGATTGCAGAGTACCAAAACAGCTGCAACAAGTGCCTCACCATCAGAAATATATGCAGATCTAGAGTGTATATTTAAATATGATAGCTTTGAGGGGTATATATGCAAAAAAAACCAAAAAAATATACCAGAAGCATATATGATTTTTGGGTTAAGATAGACAAAACCCTAGATATCAGCAAAGAGGGAAATCATCATCGTTTCAAAGAAGCAAGAAGAGAAGCAATGCAAATTCTTAGATTGATGACATTGTCATAAATCCAAAATACAAATCCAACAACCAAACAACCCCTTACTGAAGATATGATTTTCCATAGAGAACCCTCTCA